CAGCAAATGACGGAAGGGTTGGGCAGCAGGCGGCTCACCAGCACATCGTCCTCCTGAACTGTCACGCACCAGATCATCTGTAGGAAGCTGGACAGGAGCCCAGGCCACAAAGAGACCAGGGTCACCCAGATGATAGGCACGCTCTGGTACGCGAGCTCGCCGAAGCGAGGTGCCGGTGAGAAGAGGCCAAAGTCAAGAGAGTCCATCTCTGCGCGGGTTTCCAAAGATGCAAAGCTGAAGATGCTCGTTGTCTTTTCCCGGGGTGTCTTCTCGGGCCTCGGCAAGCAAAGCACAGGAAGCTCAGGAAGCGGAGGCGCTTCGGAATGCAAGTAGCTCGCTCAGTTCTTGGGTCCGGGCATTGCATCGGGCGAGGCGACGGTGACGACATCGCAATGTTCGTGCTCCGAGCCCACCAGCCGGAGCTCATCGCCTCCAGGCTCAGCTTCCTCCGGTACCGGCAGGGTCTCCTCGTTGAAGGTGAACGCGGCATCCAGCACCGTGTCCAGCATTGTCGTAAAATCCGGAGACTGGGTGGCGAAGTCTGTGATCAGGAACTGTCGCAGATCCGCCTGCGCAAGGATCGCAGCACAGAGTGGCACAGCTCAGACAGCTCTGCAAGCAGGTCAAGCTCAGCTGTGGGGGGCCTGCGCCAGTTCTTCGTAAACCTGTTGTGCCTCGGCCTGCGGGTGCAGCTGGGCAGTACGGGCCGCACAGGCACTGAGCAGGAGCTCTCGCGACCCGGCTGCAGCCCTGCGCAGGAAGCCGTCCGGGTTCTCCGCTGCTTGCTGCAGCTGAGCCGTGGTGAGATTATCCAAGGCGCCCAGGCGCTCCAAGTCCGTCCAGGAGAAGACGTCTGCACTCGGAGCTTCGGTCACGGGAGCGAACATCTCTTTGAGCATGGGGTCTATGACCTTGCGCAGTTGGTTCCGACTGCGTCCCAACTCGTTGAAGGAAAAGCCGAAACGCTGCCCCACCGGCACCACCACGCGCGCCACCACGAAGGAGAGCAGAAGGATGCCGATCATGACTAGGACAGGTAAGGAGAGATGGTACACTCCAACGGCGGCGCGTGGTGCATCCTGCCAGAGTCCGAAACCGCTACATTGCAAGAATGATGAGACAGAAGCTGACATGTCAAGAATCCTTTCTTGAGGAATACTGCGGAATATATTGGCTCAGGCTCTATGTCGACTGGAAGCCTACTAACTTTTTAGCACCATCGCATGCCCTTCATGGCCTGGGCGAAGCACTGTGTGGCCGAGTCGACAGATGTCAAAACAGGCGTCAGCGTGAGGGTCTCGAAGATGCTTCGCATCGCTTCGCTGACCTGCTGCAGGGTAGATGGGTCGGTATGGGTCCAATCTAGGGCCCGAAAGACACTCCAAGAAGCGCCACCCGCAAAGGCCATGGGAAGAGCAGAGAGTCTTCCGTGAGCGGAATTTGACTCAGGTCGAACGCCGTCAGGACGGAGCAGGCAGCCAGCCACTGGGCGGCGATGCGGATCATGACTGTGTGGAGCTTGCTGCTTGCTCTGACGGCTGCCGTTGCGGCCATGGCCGCGACCACGAAGTTGATCGTGGCCTGTCATCCCACTACACTTCCTATGGTCTGATATTCAATGGCAAAGTTCCAGCCCCAATATGCAAACCTGAATCTTGGCTTGAACTGGCAGGTAAAGACTTTCCGGGGCCAACACCCCTGCAAGCTGAAAACTCGCAGCCTTCGTCCCAACATCGATGATGACTGAGGCTACCAGTGGCAAAACAGCACCAGCAGCGCACGGCTCGCATGGCTGCTGGAAGGCACTCCTGGCCCAACCAGCTAGGCATTCTCCACAAAAGAACCCGGTGGAGCCTTCGTCGCAGGCGTTGTCATACTTGCCAAAGCATTCCACTGTGTCATCTTGCGTGCACAGTTGCCCTCCGAGGCAAGCACTAAGACCAGTGGCTGTGACGGCCGTGCACTTCACTGCAAGTGTCACTCCTGTTTGGAAGTAGCCCGGCCGGGCGACAGGCAGCTTGTGGTTCCCCGCCTGAGTGATGCCCGCCTGACTGTGAAAACCACCCAAGCATTGCAAATTAGGAAGGAAGGCACAACTGCCGCACCTGGACAGCAATCCTGCTGCATCCAGAACTGCATAAAATCCTGGCATGCAGAAGCAGTCTGTTAAGTTGGTGGACGCATTGGCACTCTGGGCGTTTGTGGGGCACTGGAAAAGGCACGATGGATCGTTAGCCAGCGTGGGCTTGTACCGTCCAGGTTGGCATGGCTCACAGATGCCCTGAGCTTCAAGGGCATAGTGTCCTGGAAGGCACAAGCAGTCTGCCTGCAAGATCGAGCCAACGCGTGAGGTGGCGTTATCCTGGCACCGCCGCTCTTCACCCTGGCCCGGGCAAAAGAAGCCTTCCCTGCAGTCTCGGCAGGTTTCGCCGTCTGCTGCCAGACCCGACCGGCACTGACAGTCGAGGGGAGACATGGCACCCTCCATGGAGGTCTTATTGGTAGAGCACCGGCTGCACAGGGTGTCGCCCACCAGTGCTTTGTATTCGCCCGGAAGGCATGGTCTGCACTGTGCGATCTCCTCGTCAAAACCATAGCCCTGTCGGCATCTGCAAGGCTCTGTGCTTCCAGTGCCGTTGCTGAAGGTGCCAGTACCACACGGCGAGCACGGGAAGTCTCCAACGCTGCCCTTGAAAAATCCAACTGGGCATGGGGCACAAAGCCCGTCTTCCAAGAAGCTGCCAGCCCTGCAAACGCACTGGGACTTGCTGGCTGAAGTGTCACTCTCGGTTGTCTGAAACGAGGCACACGCCTGCCGGGTGTGCAGGCCCCCTGTACAGAAGAAGCCGACGCCGCAGGCTTCGCAAACTGCAGGATTGTCGGGCTGCGTGTTGAAAAAGCCCGCCATGCACGTGCAGGACGCAAGGCTGGTGGCTCCCTCCTCCAATCATGAGCAGGCATGCGGCACAGGCGGCAAGACAAGGAAGAGAAGAAACCTCAAGCAGCTACCTACGAACGACATACAGACGACCCACCTGCAACGTCGAAGACCCAGCCGGGCAGGCCAAGCAGATCGCGCTCTCTGAGTCCCAGTAGCGCCCTCGAAGGCACAGACAGTCGGAGAGCTGGCCTCGGTGGAAGAGTACAGCTGAACGATGCTGAGATCAGGACAGCGTGCGATGCTCTTTGCTGGGCGGCGGACGTGAGCCCTCTGCCGAAGTGCTCGCGGGCGGACAGCTCTGCACTTCGGAACCTCCGAGGCAGAAGAAGTTCGGCGGACAGGGCAGACAGGAGGAGCCGGGCCCTTCGTTGTACTCGCCGGGTGGGCAGATGACGTCCAAGTTCAGAGCGACCACGAGAAACTCCTCTGCCGAAGTGCAGGGTCCTGTGGCGGGGCACCAGCAAAGCTCCAAAGCTTCCGGTTGGAGGCCCTCCATTGGGTCCAGGAAGCCTATGTGCAATGTGTACCAACCGTACGATGCGTTGAAAGAAATGGTGACCGCCCGCGGGGAGTAAGTGGAGGGCTGAGGCTCTCCACTGCATCGGCTCTGCATCACGACGCTGTCGTTCACGGAGATGCCGACTCCTCGCCACTCTGAAATCGTACAGTCTCTGCCTAGGAAGCATTGAACGGACTGGCGCAGCTGCGGCCCCTCCACGACAAAGTAGCCCGCTGTCACACTGAAGTTGTCGGGATGACTGCAGCTGGTGTCACACCAGCACAGGCGGTGATGCCCAGGTTCGGCAACGAGGGGGGTTGCGTGTCCTCCGAACATCCAGAGATCCTCCTCCGCTTCATCGGAGAGCAGCGTGGGGAGTTCTGCCAAGATATCTGGGTCGGAGCAGGTGCGTTTCACAGTGCCAACGCCCGAGGCATTCCAGCGGAAGGAACAGTTGCGGCCCAGCTGGCAGCTTACCAACAAGGGCGAGCTGGTCTGACTGACCACGTATCGCCAGGTCTGTTGCAAGTAGGAGACATTGAAGCCACCGAAGGACAGCAAGCCACGAGAAGCGTGGTCCCAAACAATGCCATGACCGGTACGGCCGGTTGGGCCTAAGACCTCGGTTTGCAAGCCCTCTTGCTTCCAGGAGTTTGTCAAGAGGCTGTAGTTGTAGAGAGACGACTCGTAGCTGAGGTTGTTGCTCACATTGGTGATGCCACCCATGACAAGCATGCTCATTGACACCGGGTCCCACGCAGCGGCATGCCCAGCCCGAGCCGTGGGCCAATATCCTGAAGCTGACAAGTCGGTCCAGGTGCCTGCTGAAGCATCGTAGCTGCGCAGGTCATCCAGGTAATGCTGCCCACTCCACCCGCCAAAAACGAGCATGGAGCGAGTTGTGGGTACCCAGACGGCAGTGTGCCGGCTGCGCGCTCCGGCTCCTGTCGCCCCAGGCTCGCTCCACTGGCCGTCGGCGAGGCTGTAGCGCTGGAGGTCCTCCAACACCTGGCTGCCGCTCTCTCCTCCAAAAACAAGCACCGCATTTTCCGAGGGGTCCAGGACCGCGGTGTGGTAGGCACGTGCCGGCGTCTCCGCTAGGGCAGGCAATTGCCTCCAAGTGCTGTCGTTGCTGCCAAAGTGCCAGATGTCATTGTAGAAGGTAACTTGTGCCCTGCCTCCAAAGATCAGCATAGATCGCGAATGCGCATCCCACAGCGCTGCGTGGCCCCATCTGGCACCGGGGGCTCCCTCACTCGATGGCAGGATCTCAGTCCAAGCTCGTCGAGGCCAGTCATAGCGCCACAGGTCCGCAAAGTAGAGGAAGGCGTTGTTGGCGTGGCCCCCGAACATCCACGCGGACTGAGTCTGATTGTCCCAGACCATGGAAGCGTCCTGGCGCCCGGCGGGGCTTCCGGCGGGTGTGTACTCGCTCCACGCATCCGACTCGCACTCAAGACCTGCACTGAAAAACAAAACTAGAAGACATGTGGCC